GCAATAAATATGCGTGTCATGCAACGACCCGTTCTGGTTGATTACCAACCTTATTATTATTATTTTTTATATTCATAACTTGCCTCATTTCAAATTGAATGTATAAGTTAGTTAGGTGAGTTAGTTAAGATAGCGTGTCTGCTTCTTTATACAAGAGATAACTAGTGAATTACAACTTTAATATACCGTAATTGGTGCAATGTCCCTTTCTGTACATGAGATTAGTTTATAATCACGTATTGTCAAAAGAAAAATGTAAAATTGAATGATTTTCTTATCCATTTAGCGATTATGGTACACATAGTTACTATGTTGTTTACTCATATGCGATTCCTTAAAACATAAGTAGCAAAGGCATAACTAACTAATAACTATAGTTAGCAATGCGAGCGTGGTCACTCCCTCCCCAGAAAGGCGAGTAAAAGTAGAGCGTCGCTTGCTCATCCATTACACTGCAGATCTTGCCAAATTCAGTTTCCTTACAAACCTTTCCAACGTCACTCTGAAACAATCGGTCACACACAACAATTAAAACGGCAACCAAACGAACCCATCAAACTTCCATTAAAGAAGGAACAGCGCCTGTTCAAATTGAGAACCAGAGAGAAACAAGCAAGCAGAGCAAACTAGCAAATGGGTAGCCGCGGAAAGGGTCGTACCGTTTTGGAAGTAGGAGCTGATGGCGTGGCTCTCATCACCATCATCAACCCTCCTGTCAATTCCCTCTCTTTTGATGGTATTTTTCTTTTCTTTTTTTTCTCCAATTTTACCCATCACACCCTTTCAATTATTTGGTGCGTTTTAGACTGATATTTTGTATATGTTTGAATTGTTACTGGGTTTTTTTTGGCTGAAATAATTGCTCGTTGATCCATAATTTGATTCAATTAACTCTATTGGCAATAACCCAAAACGGCCTCTCTCTCTTTCAGTATTATACAGCTTGAAGGACAATTTTGAAGAGGCTTTGCGCAGAAATGATGTGAAGGCAATTGTTCTTACGGGTAAGTGGGCAATTGGTTCTTATTTTTTAGCAGCTGGGGTGGTTGAGAAATGAAGCTAATTGATGGTTTGTATTATTGGGGAACAGGTGCAAAAGGCAAATTTTCTGGTGGCTTTGATATTACTGCTTTTGGTGGACTCCAAGGGGGACAGAAGGGTATGTTTGCTTTTCCATGCTTTTCATATTCTAGTAAAAAATAATGCGTTACTACATATTCAGTGAAGTTGTTCTTGTTATTTTTTTACAGACGAGTCAAAGCCTGGTTTTATGTCTGTGGAAGTCATCACTGACATTTTTGAAGGTATATATCTGTTTTGTTTTGTTTTCTTAACATTTTTTTCTTTCTAATCAAGAGTACGTTGAATTGACCTACGATGGGTTGCTTAATTTCCCAGGTACTAGTAAACCTTCAGTTGCTGCCATTGATGGCCTTGCACTCGGGGGAGGATTGGAGGTTGCAATGGTATGTGTTGATATTGTTTTTGACTGAAAGTTTTAATACTGGATTTTGTTTGATGAAATTTTGATGTTCTCGTGTTAGGTGTGCAATGCCCGAATATCAACTCCTAATGCACAATTAGGCCTGCCCGAACTACAGCTTGGACTTATTCCTGGATTCGGAGGTATGGCTAAATTGATTAAGAAATTTTGTTTATATTTGGTAGTGGCTGTTATGGTTGAGAAAATGAGGAACTAAAATGCTTTACACTCTTGAGTCTGGAGTAATATTTAACTTTTCGGTTGATGTTCATGCCTACCACATCTTTACTTGACCTAGCTTACCATTTTCTGCTCTTAATATCTCCCTAAAATTTTAACATTATGTTTTCACTGCAAATTTGAGTTGAAAATGGCGCTATCAAAACCTGTTGAGATATTATCTTGAAATTCCTTCATATTGAAGGCTTTAACTCAAGAACTGTTTAATTTTCAATAAACTGTACTAAGACCTAGTATCAAATACTTCCATCACCTGGATTGGCAGTCGAGGCCATCCCCTGTTCTGTAGCTCATCTTATTAGCCACGAAAAGAGAAAAAATAGTCGCATGATCATATCAGAATGTATATGGCATATTGGCATTGTTGACTTGATATTCCTTGCATTTTTTAGATTGCAATCACATGATCCTGAATTTTCTCAGGGACGCAACGGCTTCCACGTCTTGTGGGAATCGCAAAGGCACTTGAGATGATGCTGGTCTGTTGTGTATTTGGTCATTTCTCAACATCTTAATAACTTATATAGTTTTGATATGCTAACTTTATTAATACTGATCACATTACCTTCCCGATTCCCCTTTGTGTGTGCCTTATTAGACATCAAAACCAGTTAAAGGGCAAGAGGCTTGTGATTTAGGCCTTGTCGATGCTATTGTTTCACCTGATCAGTTGGTGAGCACCGCACGCCAGTGGGCCTTGGATATCTTGGAGCGTAGAAGACCGTGGGTTGTTACTCTTCACAAGACTGACAAGTTAGAGCCCCTTGGAGAAGCTAGGGAAATGCTTAAATTTGCAAGAGCTCAAGTCAGGAAGCAGGCTCCAAATCTCAAACACCCATTGGTTTGCATTGATGTTGTTGAAGAGGGTATAGCCTCTGGTGGCCGGTCTGGACTTTGGAAGGTTTTTATCTGTTTCAATATTCTCCTTGGCCTTGCCAAAATTATTGACGTGCAATTATGAGACATTGTTTCTGGATTTTGCAGGAGGCTGAGGCTTTTCAAGCACTTCTGCATTCTGACACTTCCAAGAGTTTGATCCATATCTTCTTTGCTCAACGGGGAACATCAAAGGTTTGACACATAACTTTTACTTATTCATCTCTAAAATTTAACACATCCTGCCATAGCATTTTAAAAGTAGATCACTGACATTAATTATATTATACTGTTAGTTTAAAATGACATATAATTTCTCAATTCAACCAGATTTGATTCCTATTGAAGCAGTGATTGCGTGGTACTGAACTGGAGTAACTTTTGTTTATATGTTATCATTTAGTTGCTTTTCAATGGAAGTTTTAAGAAGTTTTGAGCCGTGCTTGTTAAACTGCCATGCCATGGTGACTGAAATTTAACCGGCGTGGGTTGAAAATTCACAAGAATAGGCATGTCTTTAAAATCTGAACTGAGATTTGGAATCACATTGTTAATAGAACAAACATATTATGTTTGCACAATAATCTATTATAATGTATATAAGCTTTTCAGTCATGTAATTTATCTAAAAATCTTCGTATATTAATAATATAAAAATGGATACTGCTCCATTGCTACAACCGATTATTCTTGGGTAAGAGTAACACTATTACACTCTCTAAGTTGCGAACTTAAATTCAGCCTTACCAATATTAACCACCTTTTTTTTAATATAACTTCTTAATACTTGTCCTCTCTTAACCATATATTAGGTACCTGGGGTGACTGATCGTGGTTTGGTGCCTAGACGAGTAACTAAGGTTGCTGTCATTGGTGGAGGATTAATGGGGTCTGGAATAGCTACAGCATTGATTCTTAGTAATTATCCAGTGATCCTGAAAGAAGTAAATGATAAGTTCTTGCAGGCTGGGATTGGTAGAGTCAGAGGTGAGGCTTGAAGTCCTTTTTAAGATTAGAGCTTCTACTTTAGTATTTTATGTTCAGTTCATATTTGCTTCTAAAAGCTTTATCCTTCTAATATTTTATAATAAATTATATATACTAGTTGTCTTGGTTCCTGTGTTATAAATTATAATGACGGTTCTTTGTTAAGTTTTTGTAATGCAAGTCTGCTATAAGTTGTCAATGTTGTGGTCCAGCCAATCTACAGAGCCGTGTCAAGAAAGGAAAAATGACTCAAGAAAAGTTTGAAAAGACCGTCTCTCTTCTTAAGGGTGTCCTGGATTATGAAAGCTTTAAAGATGTGGACATTGTCATAGAGGTAGTTCACAAAGCATGTTGGTTTTGGTTCACCCTTATGTTATTTTGCTTGAAAACAAGGGGAAAAGGTCTGAAATTTTCATCTTCTATGCTTGGAGCAGGCGGTTATTGAGAAGGTTTCTCTAAAGCAACAAATTTTTGCTGATCTTGAAAAATATTGCCCACAACACTGCATACTTGCAAGTAATACTTCCACAATCGACTTGAACCTCATTGGAGAGAAGACGAAGTCTCATGATCGGATTATTGGCGCCCATTTCTTTAGGTAATATTATAAAGTGCACGTTTTCCCTTGTTTATCTTTCTCAAATTGTTAACTTGATAACTAATTTGATCTCTCCATGCAGTCCCGCTCATGTCATGCCACTTTTGGAAATTGTTCGTACTAATCAGACGTCTCCCCAAGTTGTTGTCGATTTGCTAGAAGTTGGGAAAAAGATAAAGAAAACCCCAGTTGTTGTTGGAAACTGCACAGGATTTGCTGTAAACAGAATGTTCTTTCCTTATACACAAGCTGGTCTTTTGCTTGTTGAACGTGGTGCTGACGTCTATCAGATTGATAGAGTAATCACCAAGTTTGGAATGCCTATGGGCCCATTCAGGTCAATAGTACTTTTATGAAAAATTATGACTTGGTGGTTCCTTTGTTTTTCCCCACCTTTAAACCCTATTGTTTTCCGCTGAACTGACTTTTATATTTTATTTATTCATGCAGATTGGCTGATCTGGTTGGCTTTGGTGTCGCTATTGCAACTGGTTCGCAATTTATTGAGAATTTTCCTGAGAGGACATATACATCAATGATTATCCCTCTGATGCAGGAGGATGGAAGAGCAGGTAATAATTTGTCGTTGAAGCATACTTGGCTAGTAAAATATTTATTTACCAACTTCTGTTAAACTTCAGCACAGATGAGTATGTATTTCTCATTTTCTCTCATAACAAAAAATAAAAAATAAAAAATAATCTCATGATATGGTTTTATACTGTTTTAGGTGAAAGTACTCGAAAAGGGTTCTATACTTATGGTGATAAACGCAAAGCTAGCCCAGATCCTGAATTGAAAAAATATATTGAGAAGTCAAGGAGCATTTCTGGTGTTTCAATAGATTCTAAGGTTTTTTATCTCTCTCTCTCTCTCTCTCACTCTCTCCCTCGTGCTACTTCAAGTTGGATGACAATATCTGAAGTATAAAAACCATGAATCTGACTCATGTTTGTGCCATCTGAACAATAGCTATTGAAGCTATCAGAAAAGGACATTGTGGAGATGATATTTTTCCCTGTTGTGAATGAGGCCTGTCGAGTGCTTGCTGAAGGTATTGCTGTAAAAGCTGCTGACCTTGACATTGCTGCAGTCATGGGCATGGGTTTCCCACCTTACAGGTTTGTATTTATATACTTTGTTGGGAATACCTTCTTAAACGCCATAAAATGCACCAATAACTTGTTTGGGCATTTCTGATCAGGGGAGGTATCTTGTTCTGGGCTGATTTACTTGGATCCAAATACATATATTCAAGACTGGAGGAATGGTCAAATATTTATGGTGAATTTTTCAAGCCTTGTGCCTATTTGGCTGAAAGAGCTGCAAAGGGGGCTTCTCTGGTAAGAAATTTGAAACCATGTGATGTTTATCTTGTAGTGACTATCTGAAACTTACTTGGTGTTTCATCATGAAAATTGTTTATCAATAGTATTCCTTGGCCGTTAGTTTCGTCGATTTCCTGTTGAACAATGTTAACTTACAGGCCAGTGAAGGGCTTAGCTCACTCAAAAAGCAAGAGGCTTATATTCCTATCCATTTCCCTTTTCCTGTAAACATTCTTGGAATATTATTTCTGCAAATAGCCTCTTAACACGTGAAAAATTGTACAATTGAATGTTATCTCATGCTTCATGAACTCAGTAACAATCGTGGGTTGTGGGCTAGTATAAATTAGAGTACCGGTTATTGTATAGTTGGTATCTGTTTCCTGTCTAACAGTGCTTTCCACTGCTTCCTTGCAGAGTGCTCCGTCGAAGCAAGCAAATTCTCGGTTATAAGAAAGTTTTCCCATTGCCTTTGGAGTTCTTGGTTCTAATTTTCTTTAGTCCTAAATACTATTTTCTTTTCCATGTTGAAGATGGCTCAGCAACAAATAAGGTTTAGGTATAAATAAAAATGTACACGAGGAGATAAGAACATTTGGGAATGTCAAAAATGTAACAAGTGATAACTTGGATAATAATTATTTTTTTATATGAGACAAGTTTGGATGATAATACTTCACAATTTTTCATATATAGTTCATATGGGATTTTTCCCAGAAAGGGTAATTTGCTCAACAACTGATGGATATGTATATATATATATTCCTTATTGTCTTAAATTAATTTTAATAATGTATTTGCCAGCTGAAGATTATATGGCAGATATACTCTCTTTCTTTTCGTCATCCTATTGTAAAGAGTATATGGCTACAGGTTCCTTGCTGATTTATGATTTTAGAGCTGCGTCACAGCCCATGCACGCACCCGAATGTTACAGTCAGTTGACAGTCATTCGAGGCGCGCATGCAAATGGACAATTATTCGAGACAATTACACTCTTCGTGTGTGAATGACTTACTAACTACATTTTCAGTCATTCGAGACAATTACATTCTTCATGTGTGAATGACTACATTTTCGTGTGTGCGGACTAATCATAACGTTGTTCTAAGGATTGACCCCTTGACTTGTTAAACCATGATCATTAAAAAATTTCTATGATGTCCCAATCTTTCTTGTAAGGACATGGGGAATCACTAACAGGTGAATTAACTTTGATTATGAAAATGTGACACCACATGAGGGTTCATCTACCAGTCAAGACTCAAGAACCACGTGATTCACAACCTCCTCGCTGTCTAAATATCTAAATATCAAAATAGAAAAGTTTTGATGATTATTGCGGGCCATCTTTTGAGCTTCCTCACACATTCTAAATATATTGTTTCCATTTTTATTTTTAACTTTTCTAGTTTTCTTTTCTTGTGGGGCATCCCAATTGATACATTGGGATGGGATTGAAGTCCTAACCCTCTTGTCTTTCCTTCACTATCTGGGTTAAAATGCTTGCAAACAATGTTCTTTTTATTTTCCCTTCCTTCTGCTTACAGAAAAAAAAACCCCTAGCATGAAGCTTTAGAAACTTGTATATTTCATAATTTATAATTTATAAAATGATACGTTGAGAAGAAGAATGAAGTAATGAGTGTACGTATATTAAAACACAAAAGTCTTCATAATATATAGTCTGCTCTTTATACTTGTCATTTGTGTTGTCGCTGCTATATTATAATACGATAATATCAGATCTCCAAATCTTTTGCTTTTGAAGATGTTCCTGTCCATTTTTGTTCGCATTACACCAAACTATTCCTACAATTTGAGGTTTATTGAACATAAATCAAAATAAATTGCTCTTCCATGATAGATTTTGGGTTCGAGTCCTAGCATCGGTATAGTATGTGTAAATTTAATATATTATTACCCCACTCAATAAAAAAAGTTCTGAAAAAATATTCCACCAAAACAACAAAACAACAAAAAAGAAATGGATTTAGAATGCCAATATATTCAAGATGCAACTAACCCGGCTGTTTTTAGCAATAATGCATTGGAAGGATATGGCCCCATATAATTATTTAAAGGAATCCATCCATCTTCCATTGTTTTGTTTTCAATGGAAAATGATGGGCAGTCATTTCAGCACGTTGCACACGTTTGAGAAATTGGCCAACTAAAAGGCAAAATCAATTTTATATATGTGATGAATATTAATAAATTAAAGGCTCCAATATCTGATTATGTGATGATCTATTTTTGTAGATTGTAAATTGTAATGAATTGGTTGAGTTGGTGAGACATGGATGGCACATCAAATGCACAGCACACTAGTAACAACCAACTACCAAATACACCACAATATTTCATATAGAAGAAATTAGTTTTTTCATATTTATTTATAATGAATAACAAATAAGTTAATTACGTTGACTTGTAATTTATTTTTAAGCTCTAGGGTTTAACAGATGAGACGGGTTTTCTGTAATTGGTCATAGCTAGATTGGCCTAATTGAGTACTTATATATCATGCTAATTAAAATTTTTCATAAAGCTAAATTAGTCGGGGGAGAAACTGAATATTTTTCAGCTACATATATTAATTAGCTCTTGATTTAGTGATACGTATTTTTTACAATTGAAATATGAAGTATGAGTTGTAAATATAGCTTTGACTCTTCACGTAATGTGGTGAGGGTTCCTTTTTCCCTCCCAATTGTACAAAATCTAATGTACGTATATACAATCTCCACTATACTCCTAAACAAATATCTGTTCTACAATAAAAAAAAATATAAAAATATTGTCATCCCAGTCACGTATAAGGCCCCGCCAGTACCAATTATTTGGTCTATCAACAACACTACAGCAATAAATACGTTAAAATAATTTGGACCATCGAATTAAAAGAAAAAAGAGGAGTTAGAGTGTATTACTATTGAAAATGAAGCTTTAATTAGGCCCACCCTGCAGATTTTATTGACACCTCAAAATTTGTTCTTTGCAACCCATATTCTCTTTACACCCCACTAAATTCAGTAAAATTTAAAATTACAACTACACCCCATTTTTCTTCCTCAGTTGTCTTCATGAACCCCATTCCTTAACTTAGCACCGAATGTGTTTCCATTTTCAGTGGTAGTCCACCGAATCTATTTCAGTTTTTCAAAGGTAGTTCATCGAATTTGTTTCCGTTTTTCAATGAGAGTCTACTGAATTCGTTTCTTGTTTCAGTGAATTCGTTTATTGTTTCAGTGATCATCTACTGAATTCGTTACTGAGTTCGTACTTAATATTGTTTTTTAGATATAAAGAGGACTTGCAAAGGTACTATTGAGGCTTAATCATCTCGACCTGATAGACAGCATCCCACAACCTCAACGAGGAAACATAGAGCGGCGAGGTTAGCCCCTCAAGAGGACTAGCCTCAGCAGTTGAGACCTTGCAGCAGATTTTAGAGGGTATAAACACACGGTCTACCATGACATATCAATGTCGTCATAGTTAACGGATTTGCTAGCATGCGTTTATTAGAACTCATGGAACTTTAGAACTTTAGAACTCATTCTGACCCTTATGAAGTTTGTCCCACAAAAAAATAAATAGAATTATTATATTTATAATCTCAATTATGTAGTGGGTGCATTTTCATTAGTCATTAGGATGACCGTATATGTAGTAGCTACATTCTCCACTCCCGAAAGTTTTGGAAACACATCCACACGCTCTTGGTACCTCGAGTACAAATGTGTTACATTGCATATGTCACCTTGTTCATACTATATTCTAGAAACTTGTGGAATATGACGATCTGGAGCCAAATGAACCTACAAAACAAGAATTCATTAATATACGTATAGCATATAAAATTAAACTGTGTAGTATAAACAAATAAATTCATACCTGGACATAGTGATCATCATTAACAAAACCAATGGCAATCTCACGTAACTTGGTTTTGTTTGATTGAACTGAGAAGGGAAGAAATGTAAGGCATTAACGTATGCTTAGAAGGATTAAAACCACATTATAATATGTGGCAACAATATGGCCCATATCAAGCATGGTTATCCAACAAAAAAATGGTACAAATCCATCACCAAAATAATTTAGCACTCACTCAATCTTGTTGTACCGTTTGTGCTCCTGAATACAATTCTTAAAAATAGAAGACATATCATGTAGTTGCTGCAACAAATCTTTGCAATCCCTGCGCCATTCATTATGACCAAATCTCATTATCATAGCTATGACTCTATATCCACAGTTACCATCCAGAAGAACTTCAATCTAGTGAGTGATATATACATTTTTCCTTGTGCACGAGCCCATCTAATTAATGCATCTCTACCATTGAATATTTACACATTAAATTCATGTTATTTAAAGTTAAAATTTGAAACATTAATGTCAAGTTAATGATACTAAAAAAAAATTTAGACAAAAAAAAAACTCAAAATAATTACTGAACAAGTTGTGAATTGATCACTATAGTCCATTACATATTATGTTCCAACATTGTTGTCTTCAGTAGGAGTGTCACCTTGTTTTTGTTCCTTCAATGAGAGTAAGGTCAAAATAGCTTGCATTAAATTTGTGGTCAACAATAAGTTACTGAAAAAATAAATATATTTCGATTCATTGCTATTGAATTGTAGGTAAAAATTCAGTAATACACCACCGAACACCGTTCCATGTTATGGTGGATCTCCACCGCATCTTAAATTAATGGCCGGTCAAACACAACCGAAATAGATGCAATGTTTCAATGATATCCCACTGAATTTACCTATCGCATTCGGTACTAGTGTGCTTAACGCAACCAGCGACCACCATGAAATCATAAACTTGAAAAACTCTAAACAATAAACTCATACCTCATTCGAAGCCTCTCTAACTTCAGTCTCACCATTCATGAACAAATGCAAAATATTTTTTCACCAATATAAGCATATAAACCTCGTTAGGGTTGTAGGAACGTGATAATTTGAGAAAAAAGTCTAACTATGGTTACAAGAACATATGTGGGGTATAGTGAGCAAATTTAATTTTTATTTTAAATATTTTTTGTCCTTAATAGTAATTATGTACAAGGGTTAAATAGATTATTCATATTTAAAATTAGTATAAGGTGCAATAAGCAAATAATGAGGTGCCAATAAAATCACTCTTTTACTTAATTCCACAAAAAACTAAAAAAAGTTTATATTAATCAAACCCCAGCTCACTAATGTTTCTACCTTAATTTCACCTACTCAAAGCACAAAAGAAGATGATTTCACTTTCTTTATATTAAATCTTAATTTGCGAACCAATTATATAACCAACCAACTCTTAATCTAGTTATATTTCTATTTTTTAATGTTAAAAAAGGTCTCGAGCACAAACATTAAAGAAAAAAACCAATTATATGAATAAATGGGTACATGATTGTGATGATAAGGATATTGCTTGTCTCCTTCTCCGTAAGGAGATATCCTTTCTACGAATCACGGTTTGACACATATACAATAATAATTCATCAAAAACACAAAAGCCAAACCTCATACATTCACGTCACATTGCTATTAACAAGAATATAAGAGCTCATATTTCCTGATGGTAATATATTTATTAAATCCCAAATGATCTGGGTTTATTACTTCCCTGAAGCTTAAAGTTACGTCCAGCTAGCACGTGACTTCACTCAAGTCTTCTGTCTTTAGTTTAATTAATTCATGGACGCTACTTACACATAACACTTTTTCCCAAACAAGAAAAGAAATAATTCTCACTTGAGTAGACCCATAACTTTTGGGCCAAAGAAAAATATAATTTAATTCCTCAAAGAACATGCGCAAGTATATTACCATAAATTATTGAACCATTGTGCTTCAAGTTCAAACCATGTGTAAGTTAAAATTGAAGAAACAAACTCTCTCTCTCTCTCTCTCTCTCTCTCTTCAACCTCCTAGCTAGCTAGCTCTCTCCTGGCGCCTGATCCAAATTGAAGAGGAAAAAACATGGAAGGCTTGATTTTATTTGTTGGGGTCATAGGTATAAGAAAACCACTAATTAAGTTTTAATTTGCATTAATTATTTAATTAGTATGTAATTCTTTTAGCATAATCTTTTCTGATGGCAATTTTTCCTATACTTTGCAGGCAACATCATCTCAGTGCTAATGTTCCTTGCTCCTGTGTAAGATCTTAATCTCATGATAATAGTTTCAACTAAGCTTCCAAACCCCTTGAAAGAGAAAGAGCTAAGAGTTTTTGAATTATATATAAATGCAGTGGAACATTTTGGAGAATTGTAAAGCACAGATCGACGGAGGACTTTGAGAGTCTGCCTTATGTTTGCACATTCCTCAACTCCTTCTTGTGGACTTACTATGGAATTATAAGGCCCGCCGGAGGATTACTTGTGGCCACTGTCAATGGTTTTGGTGTCGTTGTTGAGATTATCTACCTTACTTTGTTTCTAGTATATGCCTCAGCAAAGATGAGGGTAATGTTTAACTTTCTTCACTCTTTTCGTTACAGACTGTGAATTCAGACGATTGATTTTATATATCTTTTTGTTGAATGTACGGTCCAGATTCACAGTCTTTTTTGTTTCGTTTGTGGTATATCTCAATTGACGATCTATTTGATGTCTGCAACAACATTTCAGGCAAAGACGGCCATCTTGATTGGAACCTTGGATGTAGGTTTTCTAGCAGCAGCCATTTTAGCTACCTGGCTGGCATTGCAGGGAGAGACACGTATTGATGCACTAGGGTTCATTTGTGCAGGCTTAAACATCATCATGTACGGCTCGCCGCTAGTTGCCATGGTAAGGACACCTAAATTTTGCTCACTACACCCATATTTGGTTTTTAGATATATTTTTTTTTCTCATTGTCATGATAAGAAGATCGAACCCTTGGTTGGTCCAATAATTAAAATCTGGGTCAACTTCTTTTTTTTATTTTTTATTTTATTAATTGGTGAGGAGGGATTCAAATTAAGACCTTTTTTTGCAAGAAACACCCTCTGACCTAATTGCTAGTCGGTAGGTATATCATATATGCCAGACAGTTTTTTGTTGTTTTGATATGGATAAAGAAGCCGATTGGTTTATCTTTGGATAAAATAATGATAGGAAAAAAATATATTACCATGTTGGATTGTTTTTTATCACCAGAAATAAAAGAAAAAAGTGTTCTTTAACTTCTGTTTGATCTCCCAGGCAAAAGAAAAATCTTTTGTTTGATCCTTTTCTTTCCGTCCACACCATTCATTAAATTCATTTTGTCGAAGATCTAGAAAGTAGAAACTCAGGTCCAATACCATACAGTATTTGGTCAATTTATAATTCATAGTGGGAGCTAGCTGTTCGAAAAGCTGCATTCGTAGGGTCCGCATGCCATACAACACAAATGCTCTTGTGAATTTAGAAATTTTATCAACTCAATCTTTGCATAAAACTGTTATCCATATTTACTACGTACATAAGCATTTGTTTTCACATCAAAAGTTTAGTAAGAGAGTACTTTATTTACTATGAACATAAGAAAAAAGGTTAAATACTTTTTTGGTCGTTGGGTTTGACACGAAAATTCAATTTAGTCACTGAGAAAAAAATTTAGCCAAATTGGTCACTGTGTTCTCCAAAGTTTACAATTGATATGGAAATTCCGTTATCTTTTGCTAAGTGCAGTTTTTATTGTTATTTTTTTAGTCTTCTTCTTATAACTCAACGAGTTAAGGAATATTGGGATACTATGGTTTAACAAATTGGGGGAAATCTTAGGTTGAAATCGAAATTGTGAGATATAAGGAAAATCAAAACGCCAAACCAAATTAAAATGAAATCAACAACTTACCAACATATTTTGGTGCTCTATCACATTGATTGCCATCTGAAGTCACAATGTGATTCTAAATGAATCAATTCAGGCTTCAATATAGCATCCAATCTGTAATCTTATACATCATAATTTTGATTTCAACACAAGATTTCCCCCAATTTGTTAAACCCTAATAGCATAATATACCTTAACTGGTTGAGTAAATTAGAGAAAGAAGACTGAATGTGCTTCCTTAAAAAATTAATTGCATTTAACGGAAGATAAAGGTTTAGGAAACATAGTGATTAATTTGGCTAAATTTATTTTTGAGTGACCAAATTGAATTTTCGTGTAAAACCAACTGACCAAAAAGGTATTTAACCCTAAGAAAAATAATAAGCATATGCTTATTTCAAACATAAATAAGCTTTGTTTTAAAAGAAAAAAAATGTTACATGTAACATCAATGGCGGAACCATAAATTTTTCAATGGGTGGCTAGCTTAAAAACCAAATAATATATTTTTTTTGGTACTTGCAATTTTTATAGTTTTTTTTCTAGAAATAAAAGTATACATTAAATCATAAAACCCACGCTTGTTCATAATTCCATGATTAATTTCCAATAAGTTTTTTTTTTGTTTATTCTAGGACCTCGAGTGCATGGCTAAATGCTAATTTCCAATAAACTTTAGCATAAAACAAATACATATTGCAGACATGGGCTTAGTCAAGTTGGTTAGAGTGGATGTTTTCCCCACTCTGCTCTAGAGTTCGAATCCCCCTCCTCGTATTTTAGATTAGATTAAAGTAGAATATCGCTCGTATAAAAAAAATACATATTAAATACAACCAAAAAACACATATTATCAAAATGAATATGAGGCCCTTTAATACACTTTCAATTTGGTTGTTGAACATATTTTCAATTTTAATACACTCTACAACTAAATTAATATAAATAAAAAAAAATATACTTTTTTGGACTTTAATAGGTTAATATATGCTTAGCTATATTCAAAACAAATCAAATATATAAGTTTGATTTTTTTTTTCTTCACAAAATCCCCAATACCTTCCCTGGCCTATAACCCACTATAGCCATTAACCTAGTTCCGCCCTTGTGTTACATATAGATTTCCATTAACTCTCGTGTTTAAGTGGAATCTATTATCTGAGCACCAATTATAATATGTTAAGAACTAGGTTTGGTTTGGCCCTTATTATTGCTTTATGCACATTTGGAATCTATTATCTGAATTATGACATATCATCATGCATTTTATCTTATTCTCAGAAAACAGTGATAACAACTAAGAGTGTGGAGTACATGCCATTCTTCCTCTCATTTTTCTTTTTCCTCAATGGAGGGGTGTGGACTTTCTATGCTTGGCTCATACGAGATGTTTTCCTTGGGGTAATAATAATTCCTATCCCTTTTTTTAAAATAGGAAATTCTAAGCTTATTAATGCAAACATTTTTCTTTTTGAAAAAAATAAAATAAAAAAATAAATATCTCTTTTTATGCATGGTTTAGGTACCAAACGGGATTGGGTTTCTTCTTGGAACAACGCAGCTAGTGCTATATGCGATTTACAACAATGCCAAACCAGCCGATAATATTTCAAGTGGGCTACTGGAAGAAGGAAGGCAACATGAACCTCTTATCTCACCTTCTTCTCCTACTCCATCACACCAAAAAAATGGAGAAATATTGGAGACCACTTAATTAGCTAGCTAGACCTTACACCTCTAGTGTTCTTAATCTTGTTTCAGTGATGACTCTCTTTTTTTCCTTCCTATGCAAGTGTGTTTGGGGAGTCAATTAATTAGGTGTATAGGTTAGGTGCCTGTGATAAAACAAAAATGAAAAAAGAAAATGAGAGAGAGAGAGAGATAGATTTGATTGAGTTATTGCAGCATTATTTTGTCAGGCCTATATACGTACTAGTATGTCTAAAAGTATCTTCATCTTCTTAGAGGGAGGCCCCTTGCTTGTCAATGCCATGATCTGATGAGTAGGCTACGTACTGGGCTCACTTACGGCCTGCTCTTATTCCCACCTCTTTAGTATTGGGTTTATACTAAGAACTCCACCCAATTTTCCTTTTTATTTTTATTTTTTATAAGTAATATTAGAGGACGGAGAATTAAATATGAACCAAATTCAAAGGTAAACATTATAGAGTGACACAAAAGTGGATTACAAGGATTGCATCTATAGTCGTATTGAATGGAAAACATGGAAAAAATGGCTGTAATCTTTAAAATTATTATTGCTTCATAATGCTTATCCAGAAAACTTAGGCAATGATTGAATTTTTTTTAGGACCTTTCCTATTGAGCGGGGCGATAGTATACAAAACTCATACACATTATACGGATGCTATGACTCAAACTTAGGACCTTTCATGCGGGAACAATTGCCTCAAAACACTACACTAGTGGGTCTTTTACACGCAAGGATTGATTTGATTATATTGAAACCAAACATATTGTCCTTGTCACGCCCCAGACCTGGGAGTCGGTGGAAATCCCGCGCCCGGTGAGTGAGAAAATAAAAAGTAAAATAAAATAAAAAGAAGTCAAAACATGGATTTAAAATAAACTTCTCTTATAAAAATGGCTCCAAAATCTTACAATTTTACAATTAATAAATAAAGCTCTATCACTCTCATCTAATTCAGCCTCAACTGGTTTAGTCCTTGTCTTGCCCACTAATTTATCTGAAAAATTAAACAGGGTGAGGGATGAGCGACTACCGCTCAGTAGGGACATGAGACCTTATCACAGTAGATTGATATAACTAAATTAAGTGACATACAATCACACTGCCAAATATCACATTAATAATAATATATTGCATGAATGCTCTTCATCTACTCTCGTTAATTCATATAACTGGACAAGGAGACCTGCACGTCTCATACCATGCTTATACCACTTGGTCCCGAATGCCCGTTTATATGAACTAACACCCATTTCAATCATCCCTTAATTCCCTTTTTGTTAGTCATCTTGTCTAACTCCCTGTTGTCAGTCCCGAATCACCCAATAAAAACCATGTGCACTTTGGGATCCTTGAGACCTGGTACCTGCCAAGAGTTAGACTCAACTACACAAAAGACTATTTCCATTACCCTCTTTTCCATCATTATTTTCTCCATGACATATCCATATATCTCACAACAATGTAATATTTAAAACATCACCAATGTATATATATAATTATGCCAACATTATTCAACTAGTCAAGAACGCATAAACATTCCAAGAAAAACATTCAATTATAACAAGAATATTAATCAAATAATCGTATCACGCATAATATAGTGTTCATGAAATTTAATTAAATCAATCTTTGTAAAGGCCCCTAAGAAACCCCCTATATGTGGAAGAAGTTCTCCAAATCTGGACAAGGCCCATGAAAGCAAGCAGCAACAAATTCTTGATGGATTTTTGGGTTATTTACTCAAATGGTTTTCAAACTTATATTTGAGTTGCATTTTGATCTCACAACTAAATTATTCGTTCAAATAATTCACCAACTATATATTAATCGACGAATTAGTCATACCCTTTTTACTCAAGCCAACGTTACCGTGGGGTATATGATGGGTATATGTGTCTTTTTCATACCTCAAAAGGCTTTGACAAGGTTGTTGTCTTTTTCATACCTCAAGAGGGTGCTGGATGCGGACATGCTCGCCCTTACAAATGCTTCACAACTTGGCTGAAATGAGAATGAAAAACAAAGGAATGGAATGGTCTATTTATAGTGTAGTGAAGATGATAGCTACAGTACATGATAATATCAACATTTATGCAAGAACTTAATCTCCAAGTAATATATATCAATATGGCCTTGCACTCCAAGTCAACAACCTGCACGTCTCATACCATGCTTATACCACTTGGTCCCGAATGCCCGTTTATATGAACTAACACCCATTTCAATCATCCCTTAATTCCCTTTTTGTTAGTCATCTTGTCTAACTCCCTGTTGTCAGTCCCGAATCAACCAATAAAAACCATGTGCACTGTGGGATCCTTGAGACCTGGTACCTGCCAAGAGTTAGACTCAACTACACAAAAGACTATTTCCATTACCCTATTTTCCATCATTATTTTTTTCACCCAACAACTCCAACTAATTTTCATGACATGATATTATGCATTTCTCATATTCATATATCTCACAACAATGTAAAACATCACCAATGGATATATATAATTATGCCAACATTATTCAACCAATCAAGAACACATAAACATTCCGAGAAAAACATTCAATTATAACAAGAATATTAATCAAATAATCATATCACGCATAATATAGTGTTCATGAAATTTAATTAAATCAATCTTTGTAAATGCCCCTAAGAAACCCCCTACATTGACACCAAAGCTTTTGCTCGAAATGTAAGACGATTCCCAATTTTTCCACCGCATTCACAAACTCAGTTTCCCACTCTATTTCTCTCTAATATTTCTTCTTATCTGTATTTTATTTTTTTTCTTCATGCAAACTTACAAATGCTTCACAACTTGGCTGAAATGAGAATGAAAAACAAAGGAATGTAATGGTCTATTTATAGTGTAGTGAAGATGGTAGCTACCGTACATGATAATATCAACATTTATGTAAGAACTTAATCTCCAAGTAATATATATCAATATGGCCTTGCACTCCAAGTCAACAATGGATAAGAAAAGAATTACTATGAAGACACATTGTGGTGACTCCAATTCCACCAATCATATCCTAACAATTTTCATCTTAGAATGATGAGTAGACAAGGCCTTATTGACACCTAACAAGGAGGAGGTGTACTTTTAATTACTATTCACGTATAAAAATGGAGTTATCCTTTTAGAAAGAATACATAGTCATGCAATAATAAACATTAAAATTAAATTAAATCAAAACCTTTAAAGAAATTATAAAAAAAACAAAAGAACTCATGAATTTAACTAACAACAAATCCTAACTAACCACCTTTTCAAGAACCAATTTACTAAAGTAAATTAATATATATATAAATAATTATTAGAATAGTACTATCAATGCAAAACAATATCTATTTCCTTTTTACCAAGATAATTACTTATAAATATGCATATAATAATGTTTATTCCTTTTTAATAAACTTTGATAAAAAAAAATACGGACTCTTACTGTCCTCTCCTCTAAATTTCCTACAATTCATACATTCAAACCTTTTCTTTCTCTCACTTGTTTAGAAGAAGGAAAACCAGGGCTGCTAAGTTGTTTAAGAAAGCAACCCCAGCCCAATTCTACCATTCGTAGGACCTTGAGAGATAGGCCATACGGAAGATTCTTATGGCAAGTACGTCGAAAACCCATTCCGACCAATAAAAAGGAAAAAGTCTGAAACTGAAATAGTGGAATAAATTATGTCATAAATGTGGAAGAAGTTCTCCAAATCTGGACAAGGCCCATGAAAGCAAGCAGCAACAAATTCTTGATGGATTTTTGGGTTATTTATTCAAATGGTCCTCAAACTTATATTTGAATTGCATTTTGATCCCTCAATTAAATTATTCATTCAAATAATTCACCAACTATATATTAATCGATGGATTAGTCATACCGTTTTTACTCAAGCCAACGTTACCGGTGGGGTATAGGATGGGTATATGTGTCTTTTTCAGACCTCAAAAGGCTTTGACAAGGTTGTTGTCTTTTTCATACCTCAAGAGGGTGCTGGATG